TGCACCAACAAACATTTATTTATATTAAAAAAGTGGAAACTATATAAATAATACGTACAAAGAAGGTAAGTGTGCGAGATGCGCAAGATGCGCGAGATGTGCGAGATGCGCAAGATGCGCGAGATGTGCGAGATGCGCAAGATGCGCGAGATGTGCGAGATGCGCGAGATGCCGCGCCGCATTCTCTACTAACTACACTACATTTATACAACTAATATTATGAAAAAATATTCCGTAGTTAATTGTTTTTTTATTTGTTATTACACCTTTAAAATAGTTTGCTTAGGAAGTGGGACGAGTACGAGAACTTAGATATACATCGCGCCATGTTTGACGTTTGTTTGCGGCGAGACGGGACACACAAGTTGCGTTTGCACGTTTGAACGCATTCATACAAGTCGATACATAATGTCCGGCGGCGGCGGACTCGGCGCGATTCACATCCACGCAAGTCCTCAGCTGAGCTGGTGACGCGGTGACGTCACGTGCGCTGACCCCCACCTCCACCCCCCACCACCCCCACACCTCACAGCTCCTGTAAGCGCTCGTTCACTTTCCATTTATTACTTTTTATTTACAATTTTGTCATTTTTTTTTAAATCAAGGGCAACTAAAAGTCAGTGTGCCGATCTCTCCCGCGCACACGTTCCGTTGCCATTCGTCATATGTTGCTATCACATCGAATAATCTATTTATTATGATACAAGTGCGACCTACACTACACGCTACATACACTTATGTACAAGTTATCCGACGCGCCCTCTCCCCACTCATTTACAATATACGTAAAGATAAAGACAATATTTAAACTACGCCGAGTACAATTTTTAAATTATAAAAATACATTTTATAATTTGGTAATAACATCACAAACAAACAAATAAGATTCATCGGTGCGGTGCGGGGCGGACTTCCGAGTGAACTGCGCTGCGGCTGCTCACTCTCACACGCCCCCCCCCCACTGCGCAGCGGGCTGAGCGACCTCCCCCCACTGCGCAGCGGGCTGAGCGACCTCCCCCCGCTGCGCAGCGGGCTGAGCGACCTCCCCCCACTGCGCAGCGGGCTGAGCGACCTCCCCCCACTGCGCAGCGGGCTGAGCGACCTCCCCCCACTGCGCAGCGGGCTGAGCGACCTCCCCCCACTGCGCAGCCGCGGTGCAGTATGACGCACATTCTTACACTACATAGACGGTGGCGACTGAGGTCGCCGACACTAGCAACAGAATAACATGCGTAACTTTGACGTTATTTTGTTGTTAATTGTTTTTTATTTATTTTAGTGCTTATGTTTTTTTTTCGTATTTCTTAAAAATTGAAGTGAAAAAAAGGAGTGTTGCCGGTCTTCGAGCGGTGGTGGCGGGCGGGCGGGTCTAGTCTGCGGGCGCGGGCTGCGGGGCGGGCTCGGGGGCGGG